TTACAAGACTTGTTCTGCCTGCGAGCAGAAAAGCATTCCTTTTGATTATAAAAAAAAAAAGCAGAAAGAGTTTTCTAATATCAAATGGAGCCCAGGTAATAACTTTCTGCTGCCTCACTTTCAGGAGCTGGTGCTCCCCTGGCAGCACACAGCTTCAACCCAAGCCAGGTAAGGTGTGAGGAAGAGAACACAGAGGGCGACTTTGACTGCGGAGAGCAAACGCCCATTAGGACTGCAGTGCTGAATAGACTTCCTACGTGAATGTTTTCAGGTGAGTTAGGAAGAAAAGTTCTAATGGAAACTAAGGAAGATAAATTAAAGGTAGATTAAATTACCAAGAATGGGTAAGGAATAGTGAAAAAGGAGCCAAATTATATCTAGGGGTTCATACTTTGTATTTAAGCTTCTCTTTAAAATGTTATATTTTTAAGTATGGCTGTGTAGAGCAGCCCTAGTAATAAACCAACAGCAGGATTCCTGGTGGAGGAGAGTGTCGATATTTCTGTGTCTCAAGTCTGTTGTTTGGATTATGGAGTAACCATAAAAACCCCTAATCACATAGTGGATACCCAAATATCAGGTGTGTTAGTCAGTTTTCTGTTACTATAATAAAGGAACTTATAAAGAAAAAAGATTTATTTTGGCTCACAGTTTTAGAGATTCCTGACCAGGATCAGGCAGAAGCATTGCTTTTAGGCCTCTGATGAAGCTGCTGGATAGCATCGGTGGGGAGTGTGTGACAAACTGCTCACCTTATGGCATGGAAGCAAAAGAGAGAAGAGGACAAAGCAGGGGTCTTGTGATGCCCTCAGGGCTGTGACTCCAATAACCTAAGGACCTCCCATCAAGTCCCTCCTCCTGAAGGCCCCACCATCTCTGTAGGGTCCCATGCTGGGACCACGCCTTAACACATGGGCCTTTGGGAACCCTCAGTATCTGAACTGCTGCAACAGCAATGTGTTAGGGGGATATAAGGCACACCTTCAGTTCCCAGCTCACTCTGGTAAGGCGAGAGCCTCTTCATAGGTCTGGACTGCACAAGTATTGGCTTTCAGTCTGCTATGATAGCTGGAATCAAAGTACCTGGAGATGCTTCTTAAACTGGGGTGCAGTATAGGACTGAGCATCCCCGCCCAGGAAGGAAGGGGGAATAATTAGGAATGGGAAAGCCTCCCAAGGGTTTCCAGGGAGCTTGGCTGGTTCATCTTGAGATGTGGGTTAATGCAGTTTTCCAAGCAGCTGCACAGTGCAATGCAAATCTCACCTCTGAGGTCCTCAGTGCCCATAGACAATAGATAACCACACCTCAGGAGATACCTTGAGGCAATAGACCTCATTGAGGAAAAAAATGAGAGAGCAATTGACTCTCTGAAGTGTTGATGTGGAATCCCAGCACAATGCTGCATTACCATTTTTCCCTGCTGATTCCTAATTGGATAGGCTCCAATCACACATGGCAAATGTACAGTCCTACTTTATGTTCCTTAGTGACTTCAGAAGCCCAGAAGAAAGATAATACTTCTAAAAGGACCTCATCTTCTGGGCAGCCCACTGGATTGAGGTCGGTTGTCATAACAGAGCCCAGAAAGGTAGAGTGGGCGACTTTGCTTCGTGAAAGCACAGCCAAGAAAGCCACCCTGTTGCATTGTAAATGCGAACATCTGTGGTCCTTATGTGTTCTTGTTTTGGGGTGTATGTGTATGCACTTGTGATTGTGCACATATCCCTGTAACTTAGGAAAATCGTGCAACTCAAGATAAGAAGTCTCCAAATCCTGGATTCTGTTTTCAGCTCTTTCTTGACTTTATAGAACGACCTTGTGCTGGGGACTGACGCATGGTCCTTGCTGGCTGCCCCAGCATGTTACGAGGAAGGGCTAATAAAGTATAATCACAGCGTCCTCCAAGTGTCAAGTCCATGCCTCGGGGGCCTCCTATAACTATTCTCATCTGCAAAATGGACCTGGTAACAGTGCACCCTGCCTTCCCTGCACAGATGTTAGGAAGCCAGGCTAGAGAACATCTGTAAAGCAGTTTTAGGTTTTGGACCATGGGAATAATAAATGACCACAACAGCTATTTATCATGTGAGAGGAGATGATGATATATTCTATATTTCAAGCCCCACTTCACTCCTCTTCTTGAAAATAGTTTTTCTTGTGACTGAGCCCATCAGGTGAAGCATAAATGTACAAAATGCAGAGGAGGGGGAAGGATTATGACCTAAAACTGTGCCATTCGGGGTGAAAATGAACCCTCTGAAAGGGTGTGGATGTGTGTGTTCATGAGCAGAAGCTGTCCATGTGATGGGGCAAGAAGAGGATGCTTCTGAGTCTAATGGGGATGGAGTGAAGGAGGGCAGGTGCCGAGGGGCAGTGGCCTTGGCAGCAACTCAACTCAGTCTAAGTGGCTAAGTGCTTTGGTAGCTTAGTAGGTCAGGGATGACTTAGCAGGGAAGGTCTTAACAAGATGCAAATTACATCCTAAGCAAATATCACAGAATTTAACAAAGGTTAAATCCTAGAGGATCATGGAAAATATCTGTGTAGACCCACTGGCTAATATTTTGATTTGATGTGTGTGTGTGTGTGTGTGTGTGTGTGTGTGTGTGTATGTTTGCTTCCGAGGAGAAGCAAAACAATCACTTCCAAAGGCAAGTGAGCAACATTTGGGGATAGCCATGGCGAAAGTGATTAAATCAATCATCTCTGCCCTCTGTGGTCCCTGGTCTCATTTATTTAGTCTTCAAATATATGCAAAGTAAAAATATTTATATTTAATGTACTCAACTCAGTGCCTTGTTTCCCCCAAGGCACGGAGATGAAAATGGTTTCTGTCTTCCAGGAACCTGCAGTTTAGTAGGGGATTTATATTTTGGTAATCTGTTAATTTCTCCAATTCAATTAAAATGGTCCCCTGCCCTCTCTCCCACTTCCCACCGACTTTGTCAGAAGGCCAGTATCACCTCCATGGCTCTCAATCCCTCTCCAGAGCCAGCCCAAGCTCCTCTGTGAAGATCGCTCTGATACCTACTGCCACAGGTAAGAGCCCAGGCCATCCCCTGGCTGCCACTGTCCCTACCCTGCCATTGCTCCTCACTGCCACATGGTGCCACTGTTGAATGCTGGCAGTGTGGGTTGCTCTCCTCCTTGGGTTTTTTGCCGAGAGCCTGCAGTGACCGCACTTAGCTTTGGGCACTGGGTACACTCAGGGTCCTCCTTCCCATCCTGCTCTGCTCCAGGAGCCTCACAAGTCCATGCCCTGCTGGGCTTGTGTGCGTCCTCTGAAGCCCAGAAGCAACAGTCTGCTTACCAGTCCCCCCTGCCCCCAATCTGCATCCATCCACTCGTTGCATCTCAGCAGCTCCCAGGCCTCTGACACTCAGAACATCAGCTCCCTGTGCTTACGGGGGAGAGCCCGCACTGTCGTGGGGATGACTCGTCCTCCAAAGAGGGAGCAGGATGAGCCCCAGGATCCTCCTGCTAAGACACAGGTTAATTTGTCCACAGGACACTCTGGTATGCATATAGGAAATAGGTTGAAGAATGCAGCGACTGATGGGAGAATGCAAAGAAAGACTGATGGGGACACAGACAGGCCACTTGGACACAGTGAGGTGGCATTTGTGCAATGGGATTCTGAAAGGTGGATGTGAGAACCACAAGCAGAAAGTCAGTGCATGGAAGCAGAGAAAGCATGCGCCATATTTGCTGACCAGTGGTGGTGGAGTCGGGGGAGTTTTGTGCAATACAGTATGGGGTCTATGAAAGAAAGACATGAAAGCTGAGGGCTGGGGTGTGGTACAGAAAGCAGAAGTCCCCTTTATCTTCGGGGGATGGACTCCAAGACCCCTTGGTGCATGAAACTGGAGATACTACCAAGCCCTACTTGCTGGTTTTTTCCTATATCTCCTGAGCATTGCCACGTAGTACCAGAGTTAATCTGTCTCACTGTGTTTTATGCTCTGGCGTTTCCTTTGGATCACTACCCTTGTGCTTTGGAGCCATTATTAAGTAAAGCAAGGATATTTTGAACACAAGCACTGTAATACCGGAACAGCTGATCTAATGACCCAGGTGCCTGCTAAGTGTCTACGGGCAGGTAGTGTATATAGCATGGATACAGTGATCTAAAGGATGACTCGGGCCACAGGCTGGATCCAGCATGATCCCACCACTCAGAATACTCACAACTTAAAACTGCTATGTTGCTTATTGCTGGGGTTTCCCACTTGGCATGTTTAAACTGCAGTTGATTATAGGGAGTTAAAACTGAGTAAGGAGGAACTTGCTACTATAAAGGCCCACATATCAGAGTGTTTTCCTTTCATATCTCTTTATCAGCTTAATAAGTCATACAAGGAACAAAAAAGTAAAAGCTGGAACATTTTGAAAAAAGTTAAAATTGAGTTATCTTAATGTAGTCAACTCCTATATTTTTATTAAAAAAAAAACAAAGACAAAACTTTCAAAGAAAACAGTCAAACTTGTAGATTTAGGAAGGAGAAACAGACTGTTTGGGGAATTTCAATCAGCCACTGAATTAATAAGTATACTTTTTTCCATTTTCAAACTATCTTTGAGTTGTGTAAACAGTGAATGCTTCTATGCTGTGCCCTTGAACTAAATCCTTTTAGTTTTCAGAAAGAGACATTTAGAAGAAAATGACACAAAAATTTCTTCCTCAAACCACCTTGTTGAAGTTTCTCTAGGGAGCAAAGTAGATGATTTGTAAATTCCTTTACTCTTAAAATAAAAGGCATTTTCCTAAAAGAAAAGGTGATGGCCAAAGACAGACTGTTACACACACCGACACCTACTCAGGAGGGAAAACAGGCTGAAGTAAAATGCCATTTATCCTCTTCTTCACGGGGCTCAACTGTCTTACATTCAAAAGCACCCTGAGAGGAAGCCAGCATTCATAAGTAAAAATAAAAGCCCTTTTTACAGCAGTTTTAAAGAGTTGCAGGAATTAAGAATTTCCCAGTGTGGTGGTGCCATCTTGGATCTGTACAACTTGGTAGACTGTTTTTAGGATACCCAGCATCCTCTGCTCTCACAGCAGTCCCATGGAAGGAGGGACCACAGGATTCTTACCTCTATTTACCACTGAAAAAACCAAGGCAGAGAGTGGTCACAGAGCTGGCTCAGTGGTGCTCAGTGAGAAGGCAGAGCCAAGAAAGACCTGGAGCCAGGTCTGTCAAGTTTGCCTGGGCATCTTCTTCCTGCCACTCCCCAACTGTCCCACCAACTGTCACCCTGCTGGGCTGAAGAATTTCTTGAAGGTAGGGACCACTTCTCAGCCATCTTTCCCTCTTTCCACATAACAGGTGTTCAGCAAATGTTTAATTAAATAAGTGCTCTAAATCCTGAAGTCTAAATGGCTCAAAATTAGATTTTCAAAGTTTTCTGGGCCCTCCCCCATTTTAATTTTTTTTTTAAAAGGAAAATGTGCTATTTCTTAATCTGGCAGTTAAGAAAGAGAATATTAATTCATTTCAGTCCCTGGTATATTCAGAAACAAATATTGAGGGTAAATGAAAGTTAAGGTTACTGTAGGATAAACAGCAGTAATGAATGGATCTAGAGTACAATTCAGTCTCTTGTTTACATGTGTCTGTTCCTTCTGGCTCATAGGTTTAAAATGACCTTTCCTAGCAAGATCAGTAAATGAATGGTCTTTTCTTTAAAACAACAACAACAAAAAACAGGTCCTGTATTTCCTGAAATCAGTTGCCATGTGTCCTCTGACAAATGAGTTGTAGGAGCATTGACCTTACCTTGAAGAACACATTGTCCTGTGGTTTTTACTCCTAGCCACATGACCACTTTGTGGTCTTGGTAAAGTTGGGTATCAAAAGAGACCTCCCTCCTAAATGACTGTGAAGGAAACAGTTGTTTTGCCGGAGATATTTTTCTACTCTTTAAGTGGCTGTCCCCAGAATGAGCTAGACGGTGCTTTGGTGGTAGCAGGACTCCAGGAGGCCAGCTGGGGGTAGCAGCAGCCAGGGGCCATTTGAGATTCTAATCAGCAACCCTTCACCACTGCTCAGATCTTAAACCAAGTGTCAACACAGATTCTGTAAGTTCCACGTTTGTTTTTAAATTGTTAATAAAAATATTGTGTATATTATGGGAAAATGGGAAAGAGCAGAAAGGAGAAAATATTTATGTATCTCGTCACCCAAAATAACCTGTAAACACTTTCCTCTCTCTCTTTGCTCTAGGCATAGCTATTGGGGGGTTCCGTACATGGTCGCCAGCATACTGTGTAAATAATTGAGCAAACTCTTGTTCGGTACCTGGATTTGGAGGCAGAGTCACAAATAAAATCAAACCCTCGCTCTTCCTGGTCCTGCTGCATGAGTCTAGTGCATCTCTTGGAATTGATTCCTAGGATGGATATTATGGGGCCAGTGGGTAGGTTTTAAGGAAGAGGGAAGTTAAATTTCTAGGACACGGGGTGGCAGAATTTTCTTTTCTTAAAAGTATTTTTATTTTTAATTGACATGTTTATGGAGCACAGCTTGATGTTTCAATATGTATATATGATGTGTAATAATCAGATCAACTGCTATATCCACCACCTCAAACATTTGTCATTCCATGAAAACATTCAAAATCCTCTCTTCTAGCTACTTTGAAAAAATTAATCCATGTCAGTCATAATGATCCTACTGTGGCATTGAACACTAGAAGCTCTTCCCACCCAGTGCACACCTGCATCCATTAATCATCTTCCTTCCATCTCTCTCCTGTCAGCCTCCCTGGCTTCTGGTAACTACCTTTCTATTCCGCTTCTATGACCCACCTACTTTCATTTTTACTTTATGACTTAATCTTTCATGCATGGCTTTGGGCAACTACCATAAAGTGAAAAGCACCATGGTAACCATAGAGGGCATGACCTGGAGTCACTGCTGGAGCAGAATGGACTTGGCCAGAATGGTCCCAGATCTTCAGAGCTGGGTCCAATTGAGTCACCCTGGAAATTAGGTGTGTTCTGGCAAGAGCCACTCAGGATCCCTGATTGGAGATGTAAAGGACCTGCTACCTGGCTGGTGGGGTTGGATGGGGAGCTCTCAAATATCTGACCATGGGAGCTCTTGCTTTTGAGGAAGCCCAGGGTCACTTCCTTTTGCTTTTGTGGCCACCAGGAGAATCTGATTCCTTCAAGTACCTTGTATGTAGTCAACAAATAGTGTATTATTCCCTTTGTAGGGAGGGCACATGTTAAGAAGGCACAAATAGATACATTTTTCTAAGCTATCATCACACTCAGGTGTAGAGAAGAAAGACACGGAATGCCAGAATGCCCCAGACACACACAACAAGGAAAGTTCATTGAGCCTTTGGTGGGCTGGGCCAGAAAGGTTGCCCCAAGGATGTTACCAACTGAGCTACGTATATTCTAAAGAGTGATGAAGGACTCATAGGTAAACATGGTGTGGGAAGAGGTTTGGGGCAGATCACCCAGCAGATGTGAAAGACAAACTACAAGGAAGAAGGTTGATACCCACAGCCAGTCACCCACGCTTGGTGCTCATCAGTAGGCAACATGTGTTCCAAGGCAGTAGGGTGACTAACTTGTCCCAGTTTCACAATTAAAAATGATGTGTGCCAGAACTCCCTCAGTGCTGTGCCAACTGGAATGACTTGTCATCCTCAAAGTACCCTCTGCCTAAAAATAACCAGGCTTTTGAGTGTCACAAGTGGGTTGATTAAGCATTGCTCTGTTGTGACTATGGATCTCTATTAGTATTCAAATGCTTCAAGGAGAAGGCAATGCATGAAGTCACCTACTTTCAGTGTAAGTCAGTTTATGTAAAGTCTAAGTTCTTCACCAGTTAGTATCTGGCCAGTGAGATTGCTCTAAGACTTGGAAGGGAACAGGAACATGGAAGGTGTTTCTGGCGCCCAAAGAAAAAAGAAAGGTGGTGATTAGCACATGCTTGTCCTGCATCATTATTTTACCTGCACCTTAGGCCCCCACACACTGTGCCTCAGCTCCTATCCTTGAAATGAGAGTAGTAATAATGTTTGCTCAGGGAGAATTCACAAAGGTGGAGGACCCGTGGCACTTGTGGCTGATGCCGTGTGGCAGAAAGGACCTTCATCTTCTGTTCTCAGCTCCTGAAAGATCCTCTCTCGAGTTGACCTGGGAGCCATTTGTGAAAAGCAAGTCACGGGTGAGGCAGTGACAATGAGGGTCTTCCTACACTTTCAAGTACCCATGGGCCTAACTTGCATTTAGCTCCAAGGAATAGAGTACCAGGACTCATGTTTGTAGTGGATTTAGAAAACAGCCTCAAACAGCATGTTCTTAGAGTGCTATAAAAATGCAAGAAAAACTAAGAGTTGCCAAAATTTATTTAGCACTTACTAGGTGACAAGTTCCATTGTGAGTGCTTTACTTGAAGGATGCTATTTAACCCCCACAATAACCCATTGAGGTGGGTACTATTGTGGCCCCCTTTATGTATGAGAAAGTCAAGGCTAGGATAATCACAAATACATTATCAGGGCCATACAATTACTAAATGTGACACCGAAGAGTTGAATCTCATCATACTGTGCTGGAACTGGCAGCAGCTGGGAGGAGGATATTGTGAGCCCTCCTACTTACAGTGGGGGGACCCCAGCATATCTGGGACCCTGAAGGAAGTATGGAATGTAACAACAGTCCAGGCTTCAGGGAACTCAGAGCCCCTTATGTTAGAGAAGGGTTTCAACGTTCCCATTGGCCCTTTGCCCAGGATAACACCGGCCATCCGTTTTATATAAAGCAGCCAGCTACCTTGTGAGAGGGAAATCGACCTGAGGTCCATTGGAAGAGAAAGTGAGGAGGAAGTCCTGGGAAGGGAAGGAAGGGACAGAACACACTGCATTTGCAACCAGGGATGGTTGCAAATTTGGTTGCAAAATTTGAACCACGAATCCAAGCTTGGGAAGGTGAAGGAAGGGCGCCCCCGGAAGCACTGCAGAGACCGTGTGCCCAGGAAGCAGTTACGAACTTGAGGGACAGCGTGGAGGCAGGATGGATGACCAGCTGCTTTGTGGCACAGTTCCAATGGCTTCCCTCTTTTTCCTGCCCTTGGCTGATCCATGAGGGGAAGACCTCAGGGGAGCACTGTGCCGGTAACAAGATGGCTCTGGAATGATGCAGTCCATGCGCACACCCTGGTGGCTCTGGGCTCTGTTCCTGAGCTTGCAAGAGATGAGGTGATGAAGAAGGGTGATTACTCTAGGTTGAAAGCCCAGACCACCACTTCCAAGGTCTTTGACTTTTCTCAAATCCTTGGAGACTCTGAACCTGCAAATCTAGGAGGTCAGATTCCCCCACCTAAAGGCTTCGCCTTGGTGACTCACTATCTCCGCTTTGCTTTCAGGATCCAGGCTAAAAGCTGGCTGCCTCCTCTCACAGCCTGAGCACTTGGTGGGTGCTGAGATTTAGCAGTCTTTGATATTAGCTTAACTAAACTTAATTAGGAAAATCAACTTGAAGAAAGAAGTTGTGATGTGATGAGCTCAATTATATAGTGGGTGTAATTTGGAGACTAGTGGCTATCATGAATTATCCAGACCATTTCCGGGGAAAAATTGAGAGTAGGGTGTGTAGCATTTGGAGGGTCTTCAGGGATAAATATCTGGCTCATTTGCTATGGCTGTCTTCTCATTTCTCACCTTCTTGAATAAAAAAATTTTAAAAAAATTAAAAAGACCTAAGTCAATGATGTCGAACATCTGCTCCGTTTATTCATTCACTGTTTTTTGCCGGGGGGGTGGGCAGTGAATTAAATCTCCTTCCCCTGATGGAGTGAACTTATTTGTCCAAAGCAAACTCTGCAAAGCGTAGCATAAGGCTGTGTTCCAGGTTACAGACTCTGGGACCGAAGGACTTCAGAGAGCCTGACATTACTGCCAGGAGACGGCGACTAAGAGCTTCCCAAGTGTTCTCCGGGAAGAACCATCTCATTGTTCAGGGAGATGTCCCATTGGCCCCTTGGCCCTTTGGTGCTATCATTACTTTTCCTTCTATTTTCTTTCCTTTTGGAAAAGAAGCAGGGTGAAGTTTTTCATATTCCTCTGCAGTCCTGCTACCTGCACACAAGTGAACAAGAAGGCAAGAGGCTGGGGAAACTTAAGTGGAAACAAATGTGAAGGTGACTGCTGGTGGCCATGGAATGAAATTCCAGAAGGCAGGCTGACAGCGTGTCCAGGGACTGCGGAATTCTTTGAGAACAACCATCAGCTCTGGCATTGGGATAAAGAATTGTCGGGATTT